CACACGTACACAATACACAGGTACACACACATGTACACAATACACAGGTACGCACACACATGTACACAATACACAGGTACACACACACGTACACAATACACAGGTACACACACACGTACACAATACACAGGTACACACACGTACACAATACACAGGTACACACACACGCACACAATACACACACGTACACACACAGTACACTATACACAGGTACACACACAGTACACAATACACAGGTACACACACACGTAGTAATGGTGTCTTTATTGCCTTCAAAGGTTTAGTGCGACTGCTATATAACGTCTTTATTGAAATCATCATGAATCAGGATACGTTACTTATTACATCCATTACACACACACACGTACACAAACAAAGATAACAAAGATCCCCCATATAGCCTTAACAGACTGTAGGGGCAAGTGCTGTTAGCGAGCACCTCTGAAGGCCGGAACGGTACACGAGGGGGTGGGTGGCCAGCACCACGCCCGACCGCCTTTGTCTCCCTAGTGGCGATGTTTACACACCGCACCAGGTACTCATTTGAGGCTGAGTAGACCTAGGGGAGGCCTGGGACCGGTTCAGATAATCGTCACTGGTGTTGGCCGTGAGCGGGAATCGAACCCGGGTCGCCAGGTTCATAGCGCAGCGTAGCGCTAACCGCTACACTACCGCTCCCCACAACGTACACAATACACAGGTACACACACACACACAATACACAGGTACACACACACACGAAGTGCCTTGCCACAAATGAACCGCAATTCCCTCGCCCATCTCGGTCAAGGTGCATGAACCATCGTCACGCCAACTCCTCCGGTCATCCTTGCAGCAGCAGCAGCAGCAGCGGCAGCGGCTTTCGGATTGCCATCGGACAAAGACGGCGGTCACCGCTTCATCGCTACGGAACCTTCCAGACGCGCTCCCGCGCCCGTCTGGAACGCTCTCCCTCCCGATATCAGGAAGCCACCGGGAGATGCGCACGCTTCGAAATCATCATCATCATCATCACCAGTTTAACACGTAGTAGGCTTTCGCGACCAATATTTTTCATAATAAAGGTTGTTTTTGGGTTAGATCGCGTTTATTTATAAATGTGTCGTAACCCTCCACCACCCGACACGGCCAATCAGCAAATGTGCATTCACTCTTCAACACACCGGTGGGCTAAAGTAGTGAACTATTTTGTCTTTTGTCAACGTGACACTTTTTTGTTTTGCTGATTGGCCGTGTCGGGTGGTGGAGGGTTACGACACATTTATAAATAAACGCGATCTAACCCAACAAAAACCTTGATTATGAATCATCATCATCATCATCACCATCCGGATTTGACAAGCCCGTTGCTTCACGGACCTGCTCGCTGTCGCGTTCCGTTCCGTTGTATTCATCTCGCCCCACCGGCGTAACCTCCCGATTGGAGCGCGCCGTTGGCTACGTACGGCGCCGACGGCGTTCAACGTGAGCCGTACGTCCCGAACGCCTCTCCCTTCGCGCCTTTCAAAATCGTCGCCTGTGCCGACGAACGGATCCCTTCGAACGGACACAGCCGGGGTGGGGGGAGGAGCGGTTGTGGTCTGTCGTGCTTTCCAACCCCCCCGCCCCACTCCCTTGCACCTCCGATGAAGTCTACGTCAAGGTGCGAAAGAAGACGAATCAACTTCTTTGGTTTCTTTCGGTAAAGTCACCGCCACGTAGAATGAGAATGAAATAATAAATTGATTAAAATAAAATAACGCGATAAAATATTCTCGCGACGTTTCGGGCCACAACGACACGAGCGGCCTTCATCAGGTGAAGGGACGAGACTGTCTGGAGGACAGCGCTGGAGTGAAAAAGCCACGCTCAGATCGCGACCTTTAAGCTGTGTGAGAAGAAACAAAGCGCCTTGACAAAGGAATTAGCATAGAATTTAGCATTGAAATGGCTAAGTTAAAGCATACACATCTGCAGAGGCACCCCTTGACAAAGGAATTAGCATAGAATTTAGCATTGAAATGGCTCATTGAAATAGCTAAGTTAAAGCATACACATCTGCAGAGGCACCCCTTGACAAAGGAATTAGCATAGAATTTAGCATTGAAATAGCTGAGTGATTGGCTTGTAACTGGTCACAGAAATAGCTTATTCATTCACAGAGGCACCTAGTACAAATCAAACAGGAGAATTTAGCATTGAAATAACTAGGCGAATTTAGCATTGAAATAACTGAGTGATTAGCTTGTGACTGGTCACAGAAATGGCTATGTTGAAGTCAAGGCCTACACATCTGAGCTATTCACAGTAACTGCGTATACACTACAATATATAATGAATACTACATAGTGAACCATTAAAAAACTAAAATATAAATTACCTCAATGTTATCAATAAACTCTATAAACTCTCCAATCAGCTAAGCTAAGGGACGAGACTGTGTGGAGGACAGCGCTGTCACCTGATGAAGGCCGCTTGTGTCGTTGTGGCCCGAAACGTCGTGAGAATTTTATCGCGTCATTTTATTTTATCAATTTATTATTTTGTTCTCATTCTACGTGGCGGTGACTTTACCGAAAGAACCAAAGAAGACGAATCCTTGCGGTCACGAAAGCTTTAAATCGAAGAAGATCAACGTACACACACACACACACGCGCGCGCGTGCAGAGTACTACAACGCAGTGACGTGCGGCGAGGTCAGTGGCTGGCGAGGCACTGGCGAGTGTCAGAGCCAGATTCACACGCTGGCCTAACGGATGGGGGCGTGGCCACACGGATGGGGGGGGGGGCGTGGCCTCACGGATGGAGAGGGGGGCGTGGCCTAGCTGAGGGGCGGCAGGGGGGGGGGGCGTGTTAGGCACGTCCCGCCTCAGGTGAGGCAGACGTGATGGCTGCCTCCCCCCGGTGCTTTTCCATCGCAGTTTCACGACGAGGCCAGCGAGCCTGAACATCTTCGTACGCATTCGTGTATCACGTAAGTCTCCTGGGGTGTGGAAGGCGAGGGCATGGGACCAAGGCGCCCACAAACGTTACATTGGTCCGGTTACTGGAGGGGTTGTGCAATCAGAGGGGAGGCTGAGCTCGCCGCTGCCTCACCTCTCGTCTCTTCCTGCATTTGCAGCGGGGCTCGGCGAATTTGGCGATTTTGACTCTGAAAAAAATGATTGGAATCGTACGGAAATCACATTCATAACGCAGATCAGTGGGGGAAAAAAAAAATCTCAATATTTATTTTATTGATTATTATTATTATTTTTTTGTGTTACTTTCGTGACCGCTAATTTCACTGGAGCATGTGGCAGGCGAGGCCCTGCCTCTCCCCCTGCCTTCCCCTGACCGCACGTCCCTGCTACACCGTACGTTAATTAGGCACCCGTAAGTTAGCCAACCCCCCATGTTGAAATTTTCACCGTGAGCGGTTCGCCTGCCACTCCCCTCCCCCACCGGCTCCCCGAAGTCGGCCCGTCGCGCCGTTGTGTCGTCCGTGCCGGGTCACGTGACAACTTCCGGTCTCGCCCCATTGGCTCTGGTCACGATGACGTCACGCACGCCCCACCCACCTCCCCCCTCTCCACGGAAGGGGTCTGCCACTCCCCCACTCCCCTCCACCCCAAAAGAAATGGTGGAGTGTCACCTGCGCGTGTGTCGTGATGTCTCACGCTCTAAACTATAAACTAAACTATTTGTTTTTGGTTATTTTGTCAAGGTGGTAAGGTCCCACTGAACAATGCTGTGCAGCTCTTCTTCAGAGGCGACCAGGCCATCAACAAATGCTTCGCGGCTCAACGAATCGGCCGATATCATCATCATGACGCGAAGATTTATAAAGCCCCGCTGAGCCATGCTGTGTAGCGCTCTTTTGGGGCATTCATAGCCTGATGAAGACCGCTATGTGTTGCGATCGAAACGTTGCGAGCGTGTGTTTCGCTTAATTTATTTTCAATTCGTTTTAAAATTTGCATTTTATTTTTACTATTTTATTTGAGTGTGTGTTTTTTTTTACATTTTATTATTTAAAATGTATTTATTATTTTAATTGAAATTTTGTATTTTTTTAGTTTATTATATCGACGTTACGTTACCGAAAGAACCAAGAATATAAAATTCCCGCAGTCGCGGAAGTTTCACGTCAAAGTTTGCATTCATAGCCGAAGCCAGGTTACTCTAAAGAGTCGCGTTTCTCAAATGTGGAAAAACCTCAGGGGTGGGGGGTGGACACGGGAGAGAGAATAAAAATCCACGCGACCAACCACGGGGAGAGAGAGAGAGAGGCAAACGCAGGGTGCTTAAAAACAATGTTTTTTTAACACTTCTGAGAATTTGCAACAAGTCGCGTAGGTGAAAAATAAAACAACCAAAAATCACGACGTTTCGGCCACAACACAAGCGGCCTTCATCAGGTGAAGGGATTAGGCTGTCTCGAGGACAGCGCTGACCTCCAGACAGCCTGATCCCTTCACCTGATGAAGGCCGCTTGTGTTGTGGCCGAAACGTCGTGATTTTTGGTTGTTTTATTTTTTCACCGACGCGACTTTACCGAATTGAACCAAAGAGTGTGGATCCTTGCAGTCACGAAAGCTTCAAATCTAGAATTTGCAACAACACCGCAAGGGTTCTGGAGACCACCTGGAGCAGACTCCGGGCGTTGGTTGACAACGATGACGAGCAATTGGGAGACTAAATTTTGATTTAAAGCTTTCGTGACTGCAGGGATTCATATTCTTGGTTCTTTCGGTAAAGTCACCACCGCGTTAGAAGGGAAACATTGAAGTTCTAAAAATATAAAACAATAAAATGATCACCACGTTTCGACTGCAACACCAAGCAGTCATCATCAGGTGTGAAAACCACAGCAAGAACAATTTGGTTTTCACACCTGATGATGATTGCTTTGTGTTGCAGTCGAAAGGTCGTGACAATTTTATCGTTTAATATTTTTTTATTATTTTATTGCTTCCCTTCTACGTGACTTTACCGAAAGAACCAAGAATAATTGGGAGATTATTTGACGTTTTGAAGCTATTAACATTCCATTTGTGATCATGTTACGGTGTTATTGTTACCCGCTCTTTTTCCATTAAAAAACGAGAGTCTCGTATAAGTGTTAAAAACTTTTTTTTATTTTAAGCACCCTGTATACAGCAGCAGTAGTAAGGATCAGGATCGAACCCACGACCTCCTGTATATGCGAGGCGTTTGCTATAGCCAGGTCGCTATCTGAAATATCACAGCTATTATAGCAGCTCAATAGTGGGCCTTACACGTGGTGGAATTAAAAAAAAATAGTTTACAGTTCATCCGATTGAGGGGGCAAACGCCGTACCGCACTTAAAATCGACTTCGTTCGTGCAAATTCGTGCAAAGTTCACCTGCAGATCACGCACGCCATCTCGCTCACAAAAACAGAGATCTCCCAAGTAGCTTTGGCAGACTGTAGGGGCGAGTGCTGTTAGCGAGCAAGCACCACCTACGAAAGGCCGGCCACGGCACACGAAGGGGTGGGTGACCAGCACCACGCCCGGCCGCCTTTGTCTCCCTAGTGGCCGTGTTTACTGCACTACACCAGGGACTCGTTTTTGAACCCGAGTCGACCTAGGGGAGGAGGCCCAGGACCGGTTCAGGCAATCGTCACCGGCGTTGGCCGTGAGCGGGAATCGAACTCGGGTCGCCGGCTTTGTAGCGGTAACCACTACACTATCACTCCCCACAGTGACCACCACGGTGGTGTTTAGCCAGCTAGGGTGACCTCTCAGTGGTCAGTAGAGTGACCACCACGGTGGTGTTTAGCCAGCTAGGTTGACCTCTAAGTGGTCAGTAGAGTGACCACCACGGTGGTGTTTAGTCAGCTAGGGGGACTTCTCAGTGGTCAGTAGAGTGGTCAGTAGAGTGGTCAGTAGGGTGACTTCTCAGTGGTCAGTAGAGTGACCACCATGGTGGTGTTTAGTCAGCTAGGGTGACTTCTCAGTGGTCAGTAGAGTGACCTCCATGGTGGTGTTTAGCCAGCTAGGGGGACTTCTCAGTGGTCAGTAGAGTGACCACCACGGTGGTGTTTAGCCACCTAGGGTGACTTCTCAGTGGTCAGTAGAGTGACCTCCACGGTGGTGTTTAGCCAGCTAGGGTGACTTCTCAGTGGTCAGTAGAGTGACCACCACAGTGGTGTTTAGCCAGCTAGGGTGACCTCTCAGTGGTCAGTAGAGTGACCACCACGGTGGTGTTTAGCCAGCTAGGGTGACCTCTCAGTGGTCAGTAGAGTGACCACCACGGTGGTGTTTAGTCAGCTAGGGTGACCTCTCAGTGGTCAGTAGAGTGACCACCACGGTGGAGTTTAGTCAGCTAGGGGGACTTCTCAGTGGTCAGTAGAGTGACCACCACGGTGGTGTTTAGCCAGCTAGGGTGACTACTCAGTGGTCAGTAGAGTGACCGTCACGGTGGTGTTTAGTCAGCTAGGGTGACTTATCAGTGGTCAGTAGAGTGACCACCACGGCCGTGTTTAGTCAGCTAGGGGGACTACTCAGTGGTCAGTAGAGTGACCACCACGGTTGGTGTTTAGTCAGCTAGGGGGACTTCGCAGTTGTCAGTAGAGTGACCACCACGGCCGTGTTTAGTCAGCTAGGGTGACTTCTCAGTGGTCAGTAGAGTGACCACCACAGTGGTGTTTAGTCAGCTAGGGTGACTTTTCAGTGGTCAGTAGAGTGACCACCACAGTGGTGTTTAGTCAGCTAGGGTGACTACTCAGTGGTCAGTAGAGTGACCACCACGGTAGTGTTTAACCAGCTAGGGTGGCCTCTCAGTGGTCAGTAGAGTGACCGTCACGGTGGTGTTTAGCCATCTAGGGTGACTTCTCAGTGGTCAGTAGAGTGACCACCACGGTGGTGTTTAGTCAGCTAGGGTGTCTTCTCAGTGGTCAGTAGAGTGACCACTACGGCCGTGTTTAGTCAGCTAGGGTGACTTCTCAGTGGTCAGTAGAGTGACCGTCACGGTGGTGTTTAGCCAGCTAGGGTGACCTCTCAGTGGTCAGTAGAGTGACCACCACGGTGGTGTTTAGTCAGCTAGGGTGACTTCTCAGTGGTCAGTAGAGTGACCGTCACGGTGGTGTTTAGTCAGCTAGGGTGACCTCTCAGTGGTCAGTAGAGTGACCACCACGGTTGGTGTTTAGTCAGCTAGGGTGACTACTCAGTGGTCAGTAGAGTGACCACCACGGTGGTGTTTAGTCAGCTAGGGTGACCTCTCAGTGGTCAGTAGAGTGACCACCACGGTGGTGTTTAACCAGCTAGGGTGACCTCTCAGTGGTCAGTAGAGTGACCACCACGGTGGTGTTTAGTCAGCTAGGGTGACCTCTCAGTGGTCAGTAGAGTGACCACCACGGTGGTGTTTAGTCAGCTAGGGTGACTTCTCAGTGGTCAGTAGAGTGACCGTCACGGTGGTGTTTAGCCAGCTAGGGTGACCTCTCAGTGGTCAGTAGAGTGACCACCACGGTGGTGTTTAGTCAGCTAGGGTGACTTCTCAGTGGTCAGTAGAGTGACCGTCACGGTGGTGTTTAGTCAGCTAGGGTGACCTCTCAGTGGTCAGTAGAGTGACCACCACGGTTGGTGTTTAGTCAGCTAGGGTGACTACTCAGTGGTCAGTAGAGTGACCACCACGGTGGTGTTTAGTCAGTTAGGGTGACTACTCAGTGGTCAGTAAAGTGACCACCACGGTTGGTGTTTAGTCAGCTAGGGTGACCTCTCAGTGGTCAGTAGAGTGACCACCACAGTGGTGTTTAGTCAGCTAGGGTGACTTCTCAGTGGTCAGTAGAGTGACCACCACGGCCGTGTTTAGTCAGCTAGGGTGACCTCTCAGTGGTCAGTAGAGTGACCACCACGGTGGTGTTTAACCAGCTAGGGTGACCTCTCAGTGGTCAGTAGAGTGACCACCACGGTGGTGTTTAGTCAGCTAGGGTGACTTCTCAGTGGTCAGTAGAGTGACCACCACGGTGGTGTTTAGCCAGCTAGGGTGACTTCTCAGTGGTCAGTAGAGTGACCACCACGGTGGTGTTTAGCCAGCTAGGGTGACCTCTCAGTGGTCAGTAGAGTGACCTCCACAGTGGTGTTTAGCCAGCTAGGGTGACCTCTCAGTGGTCAGTAGAGTGACCACCACGGTGGTGTTTAGCCAGCTAGGGTGACTTCTCAGTGGTCAGTAGAGTGGTCAGTAGAGTGGTCAGTAGGGTGACTTCTCAGTGGTCAGTAGAGTGACCTCCACGGTGGTCTTTAGCCAGCTAGGGTGACTTCTCAGTGGTCAGTAGAGTGACAACTACAGCCGTGTTTAGCCAGCTAGGGTGACTTCTCAGTGGTCAGTAGAGTGACCACCACAGTGGTGTTTAGTCAGCTAGGGTGACTTCTCAGTGGTCAGTAGAGTGACCACCACGGCCGTGTTTAGTCAGCTAGGGTGACCTCTCAGTGGTCAGTAGAGTGACCACCACGGTGGTGTTTAACCAGCTAGGGTGACCTCTCAGTGGTCAGTAGAGTGACCACCACGGTGGTGTTTAGTCAGCTAGGGTGACTTCTCAGTGGTCAGTAGAGTGACCACCACGGTGGTGTTTAGCCAGCTAGGGTGACTTCTCAGTGGTCAGTAGAGTGACCACCACGGTGGTGTTTAGCCAGCTAGGGTGACCTCTCAGTGGTCAGTAGAGTGACCTCCACAGTGGTGTTTAGCCAGCTAGGGTGACCTCTCAGTGGTCAGTAGAGTGACCACCACGGTGGTGTTTAGCCAGCTAGGGTGACTTCTCAGTGGTCAGTAGAGTGGTCAGTAGAGTGGTCAGTAGGGTGACTTCTCAGTGGTCAGTAGAGTGACCTCCACGGTGGTCTTTAGCCAGCTAGGGTGACTTCTCAGTGGTCAGTAGAGTGACAACTACAGCCGTGTTTAGCCAGCTAGGGTGACTTCTCAGTGGTCAGTAGAGTGACCACTACCACTGGTCAAGTATTCACCACATTGCATTTATAAAGGGGCACGGGGTGACCAGTGAGTTCTGAATTGGTCTGTTATAAGGCAGGGCAGCACTGCTAAGGGGTTGAGAGGCATGTGAACGCGAATCAGATGCGTGTCTAATCATTTCCTGAACAGGTTTAATTACGAAGAGACGGAACATTTAAAAACGCACACATTTTTAAAAAGTGTCAAAGGTTAGAGGGTGGTGGTGGTGGTGGGTTGGGTCAGTCTGACGTCAGAATTCGGGGGGGAGTCTTAGCGAACGACCTCAGGGATTGGACGGATTCACGCAGCCATGCGATTGGCCGCCTACGTATCAATAATCTCTCACATCCGATTGGTCGATTGACTGCCCCCTCCACTGGCTGTGTTTGAGGTCAAGGTCACGTTGAGGTTTTAAATTTTTGTTGGTTAAAAAGAAAATCGTTGATGGACATTCCACATTCCTATGGCAACGGCTCAGGACGGATGCCAAAAAAGATCATTTGCACAAACAGGAGGTGGTGCCAATTCGTTTGTTTGTTGTTGTCGTCATCGACCGCTGGTAGGAGGACGAGGATGACGAGGATGACGAGGATGATGGGCCAAGTCAACTCTCTACGGCAGGAGTTGGAACCGCTTGTAGATAAAACCTCCACCCCCCCCCCCACGTACAGGTGAGTCTTTCACGTACAGGCGAGTCAACCTGTGCGTGGAAACGTCACCTACCAGGAGAGAGTCCTCCATCACCCACCTCACCTATCACCTCCCCCCCCTACCCACCCACCACCCCCCACCCCCCACCTCTACAGGTGAGCGCCGGCTGCCCAGGTGAGCAGCGAAGCGAGGATGAGCAGGGAGGTGGTGAGGCCGGGCAACGGAGGGTGTTGGCCGGGCGCTGCAGCTGTGGGCGATGCTGTGGCCGGCGAGAGGGTGGTGGCGTTGGTGGTGGCGTTGGTGGAGGCGGTGGTGGTGGCGTTGGTGGAGGCGGTGGTGGTGGCGTTGGCGGTCCCCGTGTAGTAGACGGCACGGCTGCCCAGGTTCTGGATGGGGCGGAAGTTGTTGACCAGCGGCTCCTTCCCCTCGGCGTCGTAGTACAAGAGGGTGCGGAACAGATCCAGCTGTGGGGCGGTGCGGGCAGGTGAGAAGTTCGGGCAGCGGTTTACCACACAACAACAACAACAACCGCCAGTCGCCACTAAGTGGTGGTGACGTCACCACAACGCTTGTGCCAGGCTAGGTGCACCTTCAGGCTACGTCAAGTGTCGAACGCCTGCTGGCATGAGGTCAAGGGGCAGACCCAGATGCCATGGGTCGACTGACTGAGATGACCGAGATGGCTGGCTGATGCACCACCTGTGCCCCCTACTGTGCCGACCTGCTGTGCTTTAGCCACCCGACGCTCCGCTCGTTGTTGTGAGCATCGCTCTTCCGCCCTCCGTTGTTGTTGGAGGGCGACTACCTCCAACTACCCAGTAGCATCCTTCACGAGCCTCCTCCACAGAGGCCGATCTTGACACCGCTGGTACCGGTCATCGGCAAGTCCACTCAGCTCCAGGTCCTCCTGTACCGCATCACTCCATCTCTTCTCTAGCCCGTGCCGCGCCCGTTTAGCCCCCTAGATCCGGCCGAACAAAAGCTGTTTGGGCATGCGGTGGCTGGGCATGCGGGCTACATGACCCAGCCATCGCAGCCTTGCCTGCCGGAGGAGCTCACCGATGGGACCTTGCCCAGATCTTTCAAGGGATTTGTGAGCTCCTCACACAATCCAGCCTGGTTAAACCCAGGATGGATCGTAGGCAGGCCAGCCTAAATGTTTCTAACCGGCGACGATGTTCCATTAGGGGGGGGGTCCACGTTTCGCAAGCGTAGAGAAGGGAGGGAACGACCGTGGCCGAGAAGACCTGAAGCTTAGTGCGGAGCGACAGACCGGGGTAGCTTCAACACAGCGTTACACAACCGATGAAAAGATATTGCCGCTCGACTGATTCGGAGTGGGACCTCTGCTGTTAAACCGGAGCCGGTCCAGGACCACACACACACACACTAACACACACTAACACACACACACACACTCCACACCTGTGCCTGCCCCAGAAAGAGTGGCGCCTGGAAGACGCTCCAGATCACCGACTCGTCGCAAGTGGGCGTCGTGAGGGAGCCGCTGTATCGGTAGAAGGGACCGGCAATCGACGATTCGAGCGCTCCGGGGACAAACGACTGCAGGCTCGGGGCCATCACGCTGCTGTTCATGCCTAGGTCGGGGGGTGGAGCAATCAGATCGGGGCAAAATTCGTGTGAATGAATAATAGCGAGTGATCAATAATAATGATTCGTGATGATTAATAATGCGCGTGATGATTAATAATGCGCGTGTTGTTGATCAATAATGATGAATGACTATTAATAATTACTGAATAATGATTCATATTGTTGGTGAATAATACGTATTGTGAGTACATATTAATAAACAATTACTATGAATAGTTAATAAATAATCAATATTAACTGAATAACTAATAATTCTTCTTTGGTTATTTTGGTAAAGTCACGTAGAATGATAATAAAATAATAAATGTTATTATTGTGTTATATTATTTGTTATTGTGTTATTTTACTTTATCAATTTATTATTTTATTATCATTCTACGTGACTTTACCGAAAGAACCAAAGAAGATGAATCATTGCAGTCACGAAAGCTTTAAATCGAAACTAATAATTATTAATAAATACACACACGCAGTACACACACACCGCGTGTGTGCTGTGTGTGTACTGTGTGTACTGTGTGTGTTTACTGTGTCAGTACACACACACAGTACACACAGTACACACACACACAGTACACACACACACACAGTACACACACACACAGTACACACACTACACACACACACAGTACACACACTACACACACTACACTACACACACACACAGTACACACACTACACACAGTACACACACACTACACACAGTACACACACACACAGTACACACACACACACTACACACAATACACACACACACTACACACAGTACACACACACACACTACACACAGTACACACACACACTACACACAGTACACACACACACTACACACACACACTACACACACACACAGTACACACACACAGTACACACAATACACACACACAGTACACACAATACACACACACACACCACACTACACACACAGTACACACACACACAGTACACACACAGTACACACACACCACACTACACACACACACAGTACACACTACACACACACACACAATACACACACACAGTACACACACAATACACACACACTACACACACACAGTACACACACACTACACACACAGTACACCCTACACACACTACACACACTACACACACAGTACACACTACACACACACAGTACACACACACCACACTACACACACAGTACACACTACACACACACACCACACTACACACACACAGTACACACACACTACACACAGTACACACACACTACACACACACACAGTACACACACACAGTACACACACACTACACACACACAGTACACACACACTACACACACACAGTACACACACACTACACACACACACACAGTACACACACACACTACACACACACACACAGTACACACACACTACACACACACACAGTACACCCTACACACACTACACACACTGTACACCCTACACACACTACACACACTACACACACAGTACACACTACACACACTACACACACAGTACACACACACCACACTACACACACACACAGTACACACACACACTACACACAGTACACACACACTACACACACACAGTACACACACACTACACACACACAGTACACACACACTACACACACACAGTACACACACACTACACACACACAGTACACACACACTACACACACACAGTACACACACACTACACACACACAGTACACACACACTACACACACACAGTACACCCTACACACACTACACACACTGTACACCCTACACACACTACACACACTACACACACAGTACACACTACACACACTACACACACAGTACACACACACCACACACAGTACACACACACACAGTACACACACACTACACACAGTACACACACACAGTACACACACACTACACACAGTACACACACACAGTACACACAGTACACACACAGTACACACACCGTACACACACAGTACACACACACACACTACACACACACTACACACACACACAGTACACCCTACACACACTACACACACTGTACACCCTACACACACTACACACACTACACACACAGTACACACTACACACACTACACACACAGTACACACACCACACTACACACACACACAGTACACACACACACTACACACAGTACACACACACTACACACACACAGTACACACACACTACACACACACAGTACACACACACTACACACACACAGTACACACACACTACACACACACAGTACACACACACTACACACACACAGTACACCCTACACACACTACACACACTGTACACCCTACACACACTACACACACAGTACACACTACACACACTACACACACAGTACACACACACCACACTACACACACAGTACACACACACTACACACAGTACACACACACACAGTACACACACACTACACACACACAGTACACACACACTACACACACACAGTACACACACACTACACACACACAGTACACCCTACACACACTACACACACTGTACACCCTACACACACTACACACACAGTACACACTACACACACTACACACACAGTACACACACACCACACTACACACACAGTACACACACACTACACACAGTACACACACACACACAGTACACACACACTACACACAGTACACACACACAGTACACACAGTACACACACAGTACACACACAGTACACACACACACACACACCACACACACCACACACACACACACTACACACACTACACACACCAATCACCTGGGCGCGAGATGTTGGACAGCGCTGCGAGGATCGAGTCCAGGCTCGAGAAATTCCCTCCCACCTGCGTGTTGAGGTGTGGTGGTGCGAGGGTTGGTGGACCACACGGGGAATCCGTCAGACGGCGGGGCAACATCGGCAGGGAGGCAGTGCGGCACACGCGTGTCCTGGCGGTCAGCACGCAGCTACGCTGCTAGACACTACACTGATAGACACTGCACAATACACTACCATACACTACTTTACTATACACTACACACACTACACTACACACACTGCACAGACTACACACACTACACACACTACACACACTACACTACACACACTACACACACTACACACACACTACACCACACAATACACTACACTACACACTACACCACTCAATACACTACACTACACACTACACCACTCAATACACTACACACACTACACTACACTCACACTACACTACACACACTACACTACACACTACACACACACTACACCACTCAATACACTACACTACACACTACACCACTCAATACACTACACACACTACACTACACACACTACACTACACACACACTACACACACTACACTACACACACACTACACCACACAATACACTACACACACACTACACACACTACACTACACTACACACTACACCACACAATACACTACACTACACACTACACCACTCAATACACTACACTACACATTACACCACACAATACACTACACTACACACACACTACACACACCACTACACACTAAACCACACTACACACACTACACTCACTACACTACGCACTACACTTTACCTTGAGCACTACGCTAAACACTGGTGGGTGGGTGGGTGAGGTGGCAGAGGCTGTTGGGGTGCGTGGCTACCTGGAAAAAGACACCGAACACTGCGAGGCCGTCTGGATAGTTCTTGGCTGCGCTCACGTTGCCGTAGCTCTGCTTGTAGTTGATGATGTGCATCTGCAGTCACAGCACATCACAGCACGTCACAGAGAGCACGTAGGGGCTAACGGTAGGGGTTAGCGGTAGGTGCTAGGGGCTAGCGGTAGTGGCTAGCGGTAGGGGCTAGCGGTAGGGGCTAGCGGTAGAGACTAGCGGTAGAGGCTAGCGGTAGGGGGTAGCGGTAGGGGATAGCGGTAGAGGCTAGCGGTAGAAACTAGCGGTAGTGGCTAGCGATAGTGGCTAGCGGTAGAGACTAGCAGTAGAGACTAGCGGTAGAGACTAGCGGTAGAGGCTAGCGGTAGGGGATAGCGGTAGGGGATAGCGGTAGGGACTAGCGGTAGAGACTAGCGGTAGAGACTAGCGGTAGTGGCTAGCGGTAGGGGCTAGCGGTAGTGGCTAGCGGTAGGGACTAACGGTAGCGGCTAGTGGTAGAGGCTAGCGGTAGAGGCTAGCGGTAGAGGCTGGCGGTAAAGACTAGCGGTAGGGACTAGCGGTAGAGACTAGCGGTAGTGGCTAGCGGTAGAGACTAGCGGTAGTGGCTAGCGGTAGTGGCTAGCGGTAGGGACTAGCGGTAGTGGCTAGCGGTAGAGACTAGCGGTAGTGGCTAGCGGTAGAGACTAGCGGTAGTGGCTAGCGGTAGTGGCTAGCGGTAGGGACTAGCGGTAGGGACTGGCGGTAGTGGCTAGCGGTAGTGGCTAGCGGTAGGGACTGGCGGTAGTGGCTAGCGGTAGAGACTAGTGGTAGTGGCTAGCAGTAGAGACTAGCGGTAGGGACTAGCGGTAGTGGCTAGCGGTAGGGGCTAGCATTAGAGACTAGCGGTAGTGGCTAGCGGTAGGGGCTAGCATTAGAGACTAGCGGTAGTGGCTAGCGGTAAAGACTAGCGGTAGTGGCTAGCGGTAGAGACTAGCGGTAGTGGCTAGCAGTAGAGACTAGTGGTAGTGGCTAGCAGTAGAGACTAGCGGTAGGGACTGGCGGTAGTGGCTAGCGGTAGAGACTAGTGGTAGGGGCTAGCAGTAGAGACTAGCGGTAGAGACTAGCAGTAGGGACTAGCAGTAGAGACTAGCAGTAGGGACTAGCAGTAGAGACTAGTGGTAGGGGCTAGCGGTAGGGGCTAGCAGTAGAGACTAGCAGTAGGGACTAGCAGTAGAGACCAGCAGTAGGGACTAGCAGTAGAGACTAGTGGTAGGGGCTAGCGGTAGGGGCTAGCAGTAGAGACGAGCGGTAGAGACTAGCGGTAGGGACTAGCGGTAGGGGCTAGCGGTAGGGGCTAGCGGTAGTGGCTAGCGGTAGAGACTAGCGGTAGGGACTAGCGGTAGGGGCTAGCTGTAGGGGCTAGCGGTAGTGGCTAGCGGTAGGGACTAGCGGTAGAGACTAGCGGTAGAGACTAGCGGTAGAGACTAGCGGTAGGGGATAGCGGTAGGGACTAGCAGTAGGGACTAGCAGTAGGGACTAGCAGTAGAGACTAGCGGTAGGGACTAGCAGTAGGGACTAGCAGTAGAGACTAGCGGTAATGGCTAGTGGTAGAGACTAGCGGTAGTGGCTAGCAGTAGTGGCTAGCGGTAGAGACTAGTGGTAGAGACTAGCGGTAGTGGCTAGCGGTAGAGGCTAGCGGTAGAGGCTAGCGGTAGGGGATAGCGGTAGAGACTAGTGGTAGGGACTAGCGGTAGGGACTAGCGGTAGAGACTAGCGGTAGTGGCTAGCGGTAGATACTAGCAGTAGGGGCTAGCAGTAGAGATTAGCGGTAGAGTCTAGCGGTAGGGGCTAGCGGTAGTGGCTAGCGGTAGAGACTAGCGGTAGGGGCTAGCGGTAGGGGCTAGCGGTAGGGGCTAGTGGTAGAGACTAGCATTAGGGGCTATCGGTAGAGGCTAGCGGAAGAGACTAGCGGTAGAGATTAGTGGTAGAGACTAGCGGTAGAGGCTAGCGGTAGTGGCTAGCGGTAGGGACTAGCGGTAGCGGCTAGCGGTAGAGACTAGCGGTAGAGACTAGTGGTAGGGACTGGCGGTAGTGGCTAGCGGTAGAGGCTAGTGGTAGAGACTAGCGGTAGTGGCTAGCGGTAGAGACTAGCGGTAGTGGCTAGCGGTAGGGACTAGCGGTAGGGACTAGCGGTAGGGACTAGCGGTAGAGACTAGCGGTAGGGACTAGCGGTAGGGACTAGCAGTAGAAACTAGCGGTAGGAGCTAGCGGTAGGGACTAGCTGTAGAGACTAGCGGTAGTGGCTAACGGTAGGGACTAGCGGTAGCGGCTAGCGGTAGAGGCTAGCGGTAGAGACTAGCGGTAGAGACTAGCGGTAGGGACTAGCGGTAGCGGCTAGCGGTAGAGACTAGTGGTAGGGACTAGCGGTAGAGACTAGCGGTAGGGACTAGCGGTAGTGGCTAGCGGTAGGGGCTAGCGGTAGAGACTAGCGGTAGAGACTAGTGGTAGTGGCTAGCGGTAGGGACTAGCGGTAGGGACTAGCGGTAGGGACTAGCGGTAGAGACTAGCGGTAGGGACTAGCGGTAGGGGCTAGCGGTAGGGGCTAGCGGTAGGGACTAGCGGTAGGGACTAGCGGTAGGGACTAGCGGTAAAGACTAGCGGTAGAGACTAGCGGTAGGGGCTAGTGGTAGGGACTAGCGGTAGAGACTAGCGGTAAAGACTAGCGGTAGAGACTAGCGGTAGGGGCTAGTGGTAGAGACTAGCGGTAGGGAATAGCGGTAGGGACTAGCTGTAGAGACTAGCGGTAGAGACTAGCAGTAGTGGCTAACAGTAGAGACTAGCGGTAGCGGCTAGCGGTAGAGGCTAGCGGTAGAGGCTAGCGGTAAAGACTAGCGGTAGGGACTAGCGGTAGAGACTAGCGGTAGTGGCTAACAGTAGGGACTAGCGGTAGCGGCTAGCGGTAGAGGCTAGCGTTAGAGGCTAGCGGTAAAGACTAGCGGTAGGGACTAGCGGTAGGGACTAGCGGTAGTGGCTAGCAGTAGAGACTAGCGGTAGAGACTAGCGGTAGAGACTAGCGGTAGAGACTAGCGGTAGGGACTAGCGGTAGGGACTAGCGGTAGTGGCTAGCGGTAGTGACTAGTGGTAGGGACTAGTGGTAGTGGCTAACGGTAGAGACTAGTGGTAGAGACCAGCGGTAGGGACTAGTGGTAGAGACTAGCGGTAGCGGCTAGTGGTAGAGACCAGCGGTAGGGGCTAGCAGTAGAGACTAGCGGTAGAGACTAGTGGTAGGGGCTAGCGGTAGGGGCTAGCGGTAGGGGCTAGCAGTAGAGACTAGCGGTAGGGACTAGCGGTAGGGACTAGTGGTAGGGGCTAGCGGTAGAGACTAGCGGTAGGGGATAGCGGTAGAGACTAGCGGTAGAGACTAGCAGTAGAGACTAGTGGTAGGGGCTAGCGGTAGAGACTAGCGGTAGAGACTAGTGGTAGAGGCTAGCGGTAGAGACTAGCGGTAGGGACTAGCGGTAGAGACTAGCGGTAGAGGCTAGCGGTAGAGACTAGCGGTAGAGACTAGTGGTAGGGGCTAGCGGTAGAGACTAGCGGTAGGGGATAGCGGTAGAGACTAGCGGTAGAGACTAGCGGTAGGGGATAGTGGTAGAGACTAGCGGTAGTGGCTAGCGGTAGTGGCTAGCGGTAGAGACTAGCGGTAGTGGCTAGCAGTAGAAACTAGCGGTAGGGGCTAGCGGTAGTGGCTAGCGGTAGAGACTAGCGGTAGAGACTAGCGGTAGAGACTAGTGGTAGAGACCAGCGGTAGGGACTAGCGGTAGTGGCTAGCGGTAGAGACTAGTGGTAGAGACCAGCGGTAGGGACTAGCGGTAGTGGCTAGCGGTAGAGACTAGTGGTAGAGACCAGCGGTAGGGGCTAGCGGTAGGGACTAGCGGTAGTGGCTAGCGGTAGAGACTAGTGGTAGAGACCAGCGGTAGGGACTAGTGGTAGGGGCTAGCGGTAGAGACTAGTGGTAGAGACTAGTGGTAGAGACTAGCGGTAGAGACTAGCGGTAGAGACCAGCGGTAGGGACTAGCAGTAGAGACTAGCGGTAGAGACTAGCGATAGAGACTAGCAGTAGAGACTAGCGGTAGGGAATAGCGGTAGAGACTAGCGGTAGGGACTAGTGGTAGGGGCTAGCGGTAGGGGCTAGCGGTAGGGGCTAGTGGTAGGGACTAGTGGTAGGGGCTAGCGGTAGAGACTAGCGGTAGGGGATAGCGGTAGAGACTAGCGGTAGAGACTAGCGGTAGAGACTAGTGGTAGGGGCTAGCGGTAGAGACTAGCGGTAGAGACTAGCGGTAGAGGCTAGCGGTAGAGACTAGCGGTAGGGACTAGCGGTAGGGACTAGCAGTAGAGACTAGCGGTAGAGGCTAGCGGTAGAGACTAGCGGTAGAGACTAGCGGTAGAGACTAGTGGTAGGGGCTAGCGGTAGAGACTAGCGGTAGAGACTAGTGGTAGAGGCTAGCGGTAGAGACTAGCGGTAGGGACTAGCGGTAGAGACTAGCGGTAGAGGCTAGCGGTAGAGACTAGCGGTAGAGACTAGCGGTAGAGACTAGTGGTAGGGGCTAGCGGTAGAGACTAGCGGTAGAGACTAGTGGTAGTGGCTAGCGGTAGAGACTAGCGGTAGGGACTAGCGGTAGAGACTAGCGGTAGAGGCTAGCGGTAGAGACTAGCGGTAGAGACTAGCGGTAGGGGCTAGCGGTAGAGACTAGCGGTAGAGACTAGTGGTAGGGGCTAGCGGTAGAGACTAGCGGTAGAGACTAGAGGTAGAGGCTAGCGGTAGAGACTAGCGGTAGGGACTAGCAGTAGAGACTAGCGGTAGGGGCTAGCGGTAGGGGCTAGCGGTAGGGACTAGCGGTAGAGACTAGTGGTAGGGGCTAGCGGTAGGGGCTAGCGGTAGAGACTAGCGGTAGAGACTAGCGGTAAAGACTAGCGGTAGTGGCTGGCGGTAGAGACTAGTGGTAGAGACTAGCAGTAGGGAATAGTGGTAGAGACCAGCGGTAGGGACTGGCGGTAGGGACTAGCGGTAGAGACCAGCGGTAGGGACTAGCAGTAGAAACTAGCGGTAGGGACTAGCGGTAGAGACTAGCGGTAGTGGCTGGCGGTAGAGACTAGTGGTAGAGACTAGTGGTAGAGACTAGCGGTAGGGACTAGCAGTAGAGACTAGTGGTAGGGACTAGCGGTAGAGACTAGCGGTAGTGGCTGGCGGTAGAGGCTAGCGGTAGAGACTAGCGGTAGCGGCTAGCGGTAGGGGCTAGCGGTAGGGGCTAGCGGTAGAGACTAGCATTAGGGGCTAGCGGTAGAGACTAGCGGTAGAGACTAGTGGTAGGGGATAGCGGTAGAGACTAGCGGTAGTGGCTAGCGGCTAGCGGTAGAGGCTATCGGTAGAGGCTAGCGGTAGAGACTAGCGGTAGAGACTAGCGGTAGTGGCTAGCGGTAGAGGCTATCGGTAGAGGCTAGCGGTAGAGACTAGCGGTAGAAACTAGCGGTAGAGACTAGCGGTAGAGACTAGTGGTAGAGGATAGCGGTAGAGACTAGCGGTAGCGGCTAGCGTTAGAGGCTAGCAGTAGAGGCTATCGGTAGAGGCTAGCGGTAGAGACTAGCGGTAGAGACTAGCGGTAGTGGCTATCGGTAGAGGCTAGCGGTAGAGACTAGCGGTAGAAACTAGCGGTAGAGACTAGCATTAGGGGCTATCGGTAGAGACTAGCGGTAAAGACTAGCGGTAGAGACTAGCGGTAGTGGCTAGCGGTAGAGACTAGCGGTAGGGAATAGTGGTAGGGACTAGCAGTAGAAACTAACGGTAGGGGCTAGCGGTAGGGACTAGCGGTAGCGGCTAGCGGTAGTGGCTAACGGTAGGGACTAGCAGTAGAGACTAGCGGTAGTGGCTAACGGTAGGGACTAGCGGTAGAGGCTAGCGGTAAAGACTAGCGGTAGGGACTAGCGATAGGGCCTAGCGGTAGGGCCTAGCGGTAGGGACTATCGGTAGGGACTAGCAGTAGAGACTAGCGGTAGTGGCTAGCGGTAGGGACTAGCGGTAGGGCCTAGCGGTAGAGACTAGCGGTAGGGCCTAGCGGTAGGGCCTAGCGGTAGCGGCTAGCGGTAGGGACTAGCGGTAAGGACTAGCGGTAGCGGCTAGCGGTAGGGACTAGCGGTAGGGCCTAGCGGTAGGGCCTAGTGGTAGGGCCTAGCGGTAGGGCCTAGCGGTAGTGGCTAGCGGTAGAGACTAGCGGTAGAGACTAGTGGTCACCACCGCTGCCGTCACCATCATCACCCTCATCACCTCCAGGGGGTACCAGACCCCGTCTATGGCGTGCTCGGACCCTGTGCTCTGGTTGCCCGGGGCTCCCCAGTGGAAGTGGAAGCTGTCGGTGAGGTACGTCCCGTTCAGAGCGCCGCCTGACACGCTCAGGTTGCCGGGCAGCGACACTGACACTGAGACACGCACAGACACAGACACACACAGGCGTAGGGAGAGATCCCAATGAGAGAGAGACACAACAACAACAACCGCCATTCGCCACCAAGTGGCGGTGACGTCACCACGACGCTTGTGCCAGGCTATGTGCACCCTGAGGCCACGTGAAGTGTCGAACGCCCGCTGGCAGGAGGTCACGGGGCAGACCCAGGTGCCACGGGTCGACTGACTGAGATGACTGAGATGACTGGCTGATGCACCACCTGTGCCCCCTACTGTGCCAACCTGCTGTGGTTTAGCCACCCGGCGCTCCGCTCGTTGTTGTGAGCGTCGCTCCTCCGCCCTCCGTTGTTGTTGGAGTGCGACTGCCTCCAACTGCCCAGTAGCGTCCTTCACGAGCCTCCTCCACAGAGGCCGATCTTGACACCGCTGGTACCGGTCATCGGCTAGTCCACTCAGCTCCACGTCCTTCTGTACCACGTCACTCCATCTCTTCTCTAGCCCGTGCCGCGCCCGTTTAGCACCCTCGATCCGCCCGAACAAAAGCTGTTTTGGCATGCGGTGGCTGGGCATGCGGGCTACATGACCCAGCCAACGCAGCCTTGCCCGCCGGAGGAGCTCACCGATGGGACCTTGCCCAGATCTTTAAAGGATTTGTGAGCTCCTCACACAATCCAGTCTGGTTAAACCCAGGATGGATCGTAGGCAGGCCAGCCTAAATGTTTCTAACCGGCGAAGATGTTCCATTAGGGGGGGGGGGGTCCACGTTTAGCAAGCGTAGAGAAGGGAGGGAATGACCGTGGCCGAGAAGACCTGAAGCTTCGTGCGGAGCGACAGACCAGGTAGCTTCCACACAGCGTTACGCAACCGATGAAAAGATATTGCCGCTCGACTGATTCGGAGTGAGACCTCTGCTGTTAAGCTGGAGCCGGTCATGAGCACACTGCCCAGGTATGGGAAACTCTCCACTCTCTCCACGTGAACAAGGGACCAATAAGAGACAGTCCGGTCCCTTCACCTGATGAAGGCCGCTTGTGTTGTGGCCGAAACGTCGTGATTTTTTGTTGCTTTATTTTTTTACCTACGTGACTTTACCGAATAGAACCACAGAGTGTGGATCCTTGCAGTCACGAAAGCTTCCAATCTAGAATTGCATTGCAGTGTAGCAGGTTAGCGCTACGCCGCGCTACGAACCCGGCGACCCGGGTTTGATTCCCGCTCACGGCCACCACCGGCGACGATCATTTTAACCGGTCTTGGGCCTCCCCTAGGTCGACTCGGCC